ATCAGACAAAGAAAGCGGGGTCAAAAGTGGGGTCAAAAGCGGGGTCAAAGGCAGTGAATAATTAAAAATGATAATCATGATATCAAGAAACACGAGGATTCACATGTAACAGTGATCATTTAATGATTTAAAAGGGTCTGGCCCATATTGTTCCTTCTGAGCTGGAAACTCCATACAATTTGTATGGGAAATATAGTTAATCTGGGTTTTTCTGGATTTGTTGGTTTTTGATAATTCAATAAGAATTGAATTAGTAATAGAATAGATTTACCAGCCGACAGACTGTAATAGTATGCTATATACTATGTATTTATTTATATACTATAGTTATGTAGTATGAGGCTGTTCCGGGTGTTATATTAACAATCTATAATTATACTAAATAATAGTTTGATTTTGCCTGAGCGCTGTTCTTATCAGTGCTTTCTGCCTGGCGAGTCCGCCTTACTAGTAGGTTAACTAGCAGGGGTCCGTAACATCTATTTTGTTCATGAGGCTGAGAACCAGATTAAAGATCTTTTGCAGATATTTCTTATATATTTTATTAAATTTCTTCTAGATAATTTTTTTATGGTTATCAGTTTCTCTATTCAGCAGAATAATTAGATGTTATTATAAACTTTTCTTATATAAAACTGATCCAGCTTGGTTTTCTTTAGTTATTATTATTCAAAATTAGTTAGTCAGTGGTTTCTGGGGGTTCAGTTCTGACTGTTCTGTTTTAACTATTTTATATTACTAAATATATATTGGAGAAATATTGGTAGTCTTACTGGATAGCTAGCCGCGTATAGTATTAATTAAAAAAAATAAGTAACTGTGATATTTAATATTATGTAAGTTAAATTAAATATATTTTATTTGGTGCATTTAGACTAGAATATCAAATATAAGAAGAGAAAGAAGGAAGTGTGGGAAAGTATATATAAATAATAAAGATAAATAAATAAAGTAAAATAAATAAAGTAAATTGAACTATGTCATGTGATCCAGTCATGTACCTCCGAACACCGCTCGCCATCACAAACTGCATTGCGAATCCAACTGGATATCACTAATCCGGCTATGGCTGGCAGCTGATATTAAAAGTCCTGCATTCCAGGGTACATCACTACATGATGGCTGAATATTATTCGTCTTATTGCTAGGTTCAGGCCTTCCAGTGTATTTTCTTTTGTTTACAGCCTTGCAGGTAGGGTGGGATAAGTTGCATAGTTGGTTGGTTGATCTTGTAGCCAAATTTGTTTAGTTTGGTAAGTTTTCAAAGGGGGGAAAGGAAGGATTGACGAATGGACTGTAAATAGGACCTGATTTCTCACTGACTTTGTGAGTCGGTGCCGCGAGGCTATGGTTGTATTGGGTGGCAAGCTAAGCCATTCACTGTGTAGATGGTTGGCACGTTAAGCATCTAGTCGGGACGGGCATAAGGTCAGTGTTTAGCGTTTAGAATCATGCAGACTATCTACTGCTTACTATAATACCTTCCCATGTGGTAACTATCTCCGAAGTAGCCTAGCTGTCGTATCTACTGCCCATGGCTTTATTTGTAAATCGCTGTTAAAGGAAGTCATTGAATACAAAATGACTGAATAGGAAAAGAAATATCTTAAGCCAAAGTAACTATTAATAAGAAATTAAACTTACTGCTCAGCATAATAGAGTACATGTCGCATCAAACACGCGATTACTCCCAGCCTATTTTAGGTAAGTACCTTATATCAATGTCTAGCCCTTACCATACCGTACATCTGTAGCTCTCTATACAAAAATAAATCATCCTCGCTTGAACTGACCAATCCATCCATCTACATACTCCAAATAGAAATTAGAATGTAGAAAGACATATACATCATCAGGTCTTGGACGGACTTTTCGTTGAGATGCCCCGGCGATAGTGACAGATGTCTCTAGCACTGGTTAAAAGCCGTTCACCGCCCGCACCAGTCGCTAGAACAGAGACTTTATCATGTGCGAGACGGGATAGAACAGGATACAGTATCAGGAATTTTCTAATAATTGTGAAGCAGAAAGCTCTCTCAGACAAGCAAAGTACTGGGCAGGTAATAGGTACAGTAATGCCACTTATTACACTGATGATCAGTTTCCGTTGCAACACATACAATAAGGGAGATAAGCACTTCATGTACTCGAGTCAGGTATCCAGGAAATTCGTCAAAACCCTTGTGATATTGATCCGATCTCTGATAAAGGCATACCAATCCCTGGTGGCTGTCTAAGAGGCCATCTCTTTTGCTTTATACTCCCACATTAAGCTTTATGCTCCACCTGCAGATTGGAAGTACCGCACTCAGATTCTTACATGCCAAGCAGACCGACTGTGTGAAAATAGCTCCCGATTAAGATGTAATAACCGTTTCATAATGGTCTGTAGTCTATATCTCGCTGTAGATTAACCTTTAAATGATAAGCTCGCATATATGATTACAGAGGCCTTGAAATTTATGGGAATAATGTAGATGTAATATATATTCTATTTCGGACAAATTGACAACAACTAGAGAAGGTTCATCGAAGAGCGCAATTGTATATCCCAAGACCTTATATTTTGAATGTGAAATGCTAAAGCGTGAATATTACTACGGGATTCTTAGACTTCGTTTCTCACTAGTTTACAGGAAAGAGTCACTAACATCCGGTCAGTCGGATGGTTGTATTTTCTTCAAACGTTTTTCACTAGTGTCCTCCTCGTAAACCCCATTTTGCTTTCTGGCAACGCAGTTACGGCGGGGTTCTTTGATTGAGTGAAACCTATGAAAGTGGTGTTTCAAGTCTGAAATTGAGAGATATTTCTTGGCTTCATAACAGGGATGGGGACACAAATTATTTTTGTAAGATGTTCACTGTTGATGTGATTGATTAATGTAGCTTTCTCATGTTATTACTTGAAATGCTATTCAGGCTGCATGCTCTGAGTGTCTAAGTAAGAAGGATAAAATCCGTGTGAGACTATTGTATAACAGAAGGTTGATAATTTATAATACGGCTGCATGATTTTGAGGTGGGAGCAGCAGTGCTTCTACCAGTCAGGTTTAGAATAGAATTATTTTGTATATAAATAGTACTATTCCAGAAATAGCCGGTCGGTGCGGCGTTGGGCTCGCTTGCTATTTTTGAGAATAATTAATATGAAGCAGCATTAAGACACCTTTTTCTGTATTGTAGGATATTTCTTGAATAATATTAGATATTAAATACCGTGACTATTAGTAAAGGAGTCTGCGAGTAATAGAAATTTTATAACAAATCTTGATATGTATTTCGAGATATTAGATATTTTTGATTAACTGGTAATTTTACTAGGATAGTATGCCATCTTTTCTGTGAATATAATATATAAATAGTAAATATATTTAACAAGCACTGTCTTTCAGTTTTACTGTTAGTTATTACTTTGGTAAAAAGTAGTCCCGTAGCCTGTCTCGCTCTGGTATATATTTGTGAAAGATTGAAAATAAATATGTTGGACCAAGCTTAATAAAGTTATTCTCTAAAAGATATTATTATATGAGGTTTCCTACTAATTCTTAATAAACTGTTGGGCCTTGCTGCGGTGCTTTTTAGATAATCTATTATATAATATTGCTTGTTTCTGTGTAAGATCCGGGTTTTAATTGTGGACCAGCCCGTTCCAGCAAGCATTCATGGCTATCACAGTCTATTTCATTGATAAAGAGTGGAATTATAGAGAGTTGCTTCTTGGTTTCGAGCCTCTGCACGGCCCTCTTTCAGGGGTAAATCAGAGCGACATCCCGCTTTAGTTACTGCGGGAACGGCAACTGTTAAGTCGAATTTTCAGCGTAGCCACTGACAATGCGACATATAACGAGACTTTGATCCGAGCGCTGCAAGAGACGCTTCTTTCCACTGGTGCGATCCGTTCACGGGACTCTATTATCCGCGTTCCATGCATGGCGCATGTCATCCAGCTCTGTCTAAGGCGGCTGTGGGGCATATCAAAGCAGCTCCCTAGAACAGAGAAGTGGCAAATGTGTGGCCGGAGTCACAGATGAGTTATCTCAAAAGTGCGGCTGATTATGAGCGCGTGGCTAGCACCCTCGGAAAGGTCCGTTTGCTGTTATCTGGCTGATAGAAAGGACGGGACTAATTGGGTCTTCTAATAGATCAGATCGTTTGCTACCTTTGTTTATGCAAATCCCCAACGGCGGGATGCATTCCTGTGTCTTCAACCAGGCCGGATTCGACTTTTTCATGAAAATGCTTCCCGCACAGGCCACACAGCCGGGTGTGTCATCGTCACCACCCACCCCGGACGACGCGTCCATCTGTTCTACCAAGGCTTCGCGGCTTAAATTAGCAATGTTTCGTGACGCCAATGTCCAGGCCTAGGTCACAAGTTGCGAATGAGTCGTGGAATGACGAATTTTGCCACCATCGCCTTGATCGCCAAAGGGTTGTAGATTTTTAGGTCGATCTGACAGTGCCGGCGGACGACCGCATGCAGGATTACGGGGGTTATGGTAAGAAAGGCAGTAGCTGCCTAGATTTACTTAGTGGCATCGCTCTCGAGTTAGCAACAATACTCGAACTTCTGCCACAGTTGCATCAGTCTACATTCTTACGTCTTCTGATCTTCCTGACCTGCCGGCCTGAGACAGCATTTCGCCTTGGCTTGATGGACAGGATAATCTCCAACACCTGATCCTCCATGAGATACCTAGATCAGTTATTGAGCACGACATACGCCTTTTTCTTAGAAGATAGGTTATCAGAGATCTATGAAGATGAAGAGTCTCTATCTGAGACCTGACCACAAGTCAATACCATCAAAGAACTGCCAGGTATGCCTGTACCTGTTTTCATGAATGCTGCGACTATCTGCCGATCCTCTGGATATAGAAGAGAAACACCAGAAAAGCCTCTAAGGAAAGTACTTAGAGTACTAGCATATTTCGCAAAAAATCTTATTCTTCGACACAATACTTGTGGACTCCTTTTTCATGTTGTGATACGGGAGGATTTCAGGAAATAGCATATGGCATGCACTCCGACTAGATAGTAGCAGCAATACCCCTGATAGACAGTTCTGCAGGTAGGTGGTTGATAGTCTAATACTTACGCATATACGAAACCCGATGACTTCCTTCGATCCACCTATCTGCTTTGTCGTCCATTACGTTCGTCTTCCTGCGCAAGGATTCCTAAGAGCCAGTCACGCTGAATTGTTTCTGCCTCTGGAAACCCCATATGAGTTCTCCCATCGATAAGCCTCACATCTTTTACGCTGCCATGTCGCAGAGGAAGGATGCTGTCCTCGATAGGGAAGATACTGTCCTCCATGCCATTGATCAGCAACAGCCGGGTGCAGCACTTATCGAATATTCCACTCTCAAGAAGACTGAAACGCTCCCGTGCATTACCGGACGCGTATTCCTTTACATCCGTATACCCAAATTTGTAAGCCAGAGCCTCAGCCAACGCAAAAGGATACTCCATATGGTTTTGGGCTTGGATCCACGCCGGGTCAAACATGTGGTGGCTGCCTCCGCCCTGAGCGACCACGGCGAGCAGTCGGTCGGCGTGAGTATGCGCGATGCGCATGGCATAGTAGCCGCCCGTACTGATACCGCGCGCTAAAATTTGTGAAGGGTTGAAGTCATATTGGTCTTTGTGCTCTTCGACCCAATCGAGCACGCTGCTCCACAGGCGATCGGGCGACTTAGGATCGTTGGGTGCCGCAGGCGAATCGGCGGTACCGGGAATATCAACTAGAAGCACTGCCTGGCCGTGATATAGGTGACTGGCAAGCTTACCGTAAGGTAAAGCCGCCGTGTGGTCCGTTCGATAGGCATCCAGGCCACAGATAAAAAGCAAAAGCGGCCAACCAGATTCCGGCTTTGTGCTATTATTGGGGAAGCGGAGGAAAGCAGCGATGATGGCGTCCTTGGATTCACCTGCTTCAAGGGAGGCGTGTCGATGCGGGATATGGACTTCCACATTTGGTGGCGAGAGATAAGGAGAAGCGTTCAAATAAGCCTCCCTGCCAAGCCCCCACGCCTTTTTGCCCAGTGGCGAGCGGGGAATCGGAAAACGCGCGATGCGGTATACCGATCCGGCACGCAAGAACAAATCTCGCGCGTTTTCAAGGTCCCCGACCGTTTCATACTCCTTGGCGCGTTGGACCAAATCGTCGGCAACTGGAAAGAACGGTTTGGCGTATCTATCTGGGTCATATAAGACAGATGGGTCATCGCCACTCTCTTTGATCAACTGGGTAAAGATCTGGTCAAAATCCTCTCCTTTCCCATCTCCAAAGGGATAAAGACCAGAATGGGCGAGGTTCTTCCATTTTTCTTCCCATAGACTACTGACTGATCTATGAAAAGGGAAGGATTGCACCTTATCCACTGATTTCTGAACATAGTACGGGTGATTTGGTTGCGCCATATTGAAAGATTGCTAGAACTATGATGAAACGGTGATTTTGGCAGAGCAGATGACAGCTCGATGTTTTGGCTTCAAAAAGAAGGAAAGGTCCGGATGATACTTTAAACTTTCCAAACTGAAGAGCTTTTCAGCCATGGTTTGTCACTTCTTAGTATTTATGCTCTTTTTCCCCCACATGGGCTCGCGCTCTTGTCTAGTGATATAAAATAGAGTCTGGCGTGTAAGATTTTACCTCATACAACATCTTTTGATTGCTATATGTAACCCTTACCAGCGGGGCGTCGTCATCATCGCTCCCTTTGGCTCATACACTCTCCTTAGCTGCTTATTCAACTGGCCGCCTAATCTGCGTGTCGCTATTTTGGGTAATCTTACAGGGATAAAGTTGGGACCAGAAGGCCAAAAGAATTAGTGGCAGCCAATGACGGTGAGTAGATGCTGATTATCAGACCGATAGAGATTACGCTGTCAACGAGCGTCCATGAAAGTTCAGTCCATCCTGTTCTAATATGTCAGGATTTAAATATTACTGAATGGTAGGCACTCAACCCAGTAATGCTCAGCCTCAACAGCAAGTGGCGGTCCGTGCATTCCCTAATACTCCCACTTCCCCAGGTCTAGGCTAAAATTTTTTATTATCCATCCCTGAGCTTGATTTAGTCGATACCTCATATTCGGGATAAGATGGTGTTGACCTTGTAGTGACCACTCAGAGTCTGCTTCAATATACTGAATGGACGATTAGTCAGCGTGTCCTTGGTCACTTGTTAGCCCTCGCCCACAGCACACCAACCAGTGGTCTAGGCAACCGTAGTAGCATCAATCTTCCTGCTGCTATCACCCCAACTACCACGACCCACACTCTCCGGTACTACGGCCCGAGCAGCAGCAGTCTTATTAGCAACCTCCTGAGTGTTTTTAAAAGATTCAGTGAAGTTTATTGGCTTTCACCTTTCACTTTTTCTGGTGGAGCGGGTACGATCATATTGAGCGAGGTGTTGTCAAATTCCGCTGTATGCATTATAGAATATGATTGCGTCTGATCAGTTATAGAGAGCGTTATTTATACTGAGCATACATTGAACCATATTGTTCTGACAGTAGAGACTATTGCTGAGTTACGCTTCATATACTGGTGGTTCTGCACTTCCCGGCCATTGCTCTAACCGCTCAAGTTCATCCATTGGTACATCATATCTCAGATGCCGCTTCAGTAGCTCATGTGTGATATAATGCTCCGGTGCATTACCCTGAGCATCTATAAATAAGATATGTGGATTTACTTTGCTGATTCTTTGCAGTTTATTAATATACTAGTAATGGTGTAGACATCCATCTACTTTAATTAGAAATATAATTACATAGATCCAAGAGAGCTTCAGTAATTTAAGTTTAAACTTATTTATGTCTGTGGCCTCACCATCAAGTAGAAGAAGTAATCTTAGTAGTAGTATTTATAGGCCCGCTTGCCAGTTATAAACAGAATAATAGATAGTAGATTCTGAATATTTCTGGAAATGCAGATTCTTGATTTTTTGCTATTCTGTTATAATATATATTTCTCTTTCTAATTTGATATTTCTCTATATATCGCGAAAGTTCGAGTGGTTGATAAAGCCGATATAATCAGTTTTATTAGTAAAATATAATAAGCTGGTAGCTATAAGTATTCTGGTTATAAATAAATATTATATCAGTAAAATAATGAATGATTGCTTTGGCGACATCTGTGATACTAGGTCAGAAATCTATAATTAAAGTAGAGTGGTTATACCTGACCGTTATATCTTAACCTAATCTTAACCGTAACCTGACATTTAGGTTAAGATATAAGAATCCTCTTAACCGTACAGTTAAGAGTAGATTACAGTTAAAAGATTATTTTAATTAATCTTAACTATAGATTGAAAAAATCAGGTATACTCAGAAGATTAATAACTGTAGATTAATTAGTAATTTATACAGAGACTTTATAAAAATAATATACTAGTAGTAATATATTTTTAATTACTATATTATTAGAACAGATATTATTTAAGATTAGTTATTAATTAATAATAATCTGATTTTTTAATTAATAATTAATAACTAGTAGCCAGCAGCCTAATAGCTCCCATATTAAATTTATATAGATAATACTAGAAATATAAATATAATTAAATTAAATTA